ATTCCAAACCTATTCTTTTAGGATATAATCGAAGATTAATGAAAATGTCTTGTTCCCAAGACTCCAAAAGTTTATAATCACAGCCCAGTGATTTTGTGATTGTCCTGTAATTGTTTGTCAAGGTTTCCATTTGGACATTGAATGATTTTTGAGCACATACTCTTGTAAGACTTATTAATCTGAGGTAAATGTTAACCAATCAAAAATTTCTGTTTAAAGTTCTGATGAACTTGTATATAAACACCCTGAAAATCTCAACTCAATGGAGTGCTTTCCACTTGGGTTAGCAGCTTCCTGATTCACAAATCCTTAATCAACCCTATAAATTTCTTTATAATTCTTTATATTGTGTAATGTGCTGTTTGACAACATAATAGTCTAAAGCAAAGCAATGGAATGAGCCAATTTCATCAGCCTTAGGGGGTATATTTTGAAGCGCTGAAGCGTTTTCCCATCATATAATCAAACCACACAATGTTTCTCAAATTTCTCCACAGAACTACTCCCAAAAGAAGAGGAACTACCCTATCAGGTCTGGATGACAGACAGTTCAAGGCAATTCACTCAAGTGTCATGTTTCTATGAAGTCCAATGTTTTTTTCTTTAAAATGTATGGATGTGTTAATTTAAATAAGAAAAAAGAGTCTCAAACACAAGAGATATTATGATGAGTCCTAAAGTGTGATGCTGGAAGCTATGCCACCAGCATTTCAAATGCCAGCAGGGTCACCCATGGTGGATAGTTTTCAGTAGAGCTTCCAGACTGAGACAAACTAGGAAGAAGGACCTGGCAACCAGCTTCTAAAAAAAATTGGCTAGTGACAACCTTACGAATACAGCTGAACATTGTCTGATATAGTGCTGGAAATGGGCCCCTCAGGTTGGAAGACACTCAAAAGATGACTGAGGAAGACCTGCCTCTTCAAAGTAGAGTCAGCCTTAATGACGTAGATGGAGTAAAGTTTTTGGGACTTTTATTTACTGATGTGGCATGAATCAAACTGAGAAGAAACAGCTGAAAACATCCATTAAAATCTGAACATGGGATGTACAAAGTGTAAATCTAGGAAAATTGGCAGTCATCAAAAATGGAATGTAAGCCACCAGAAGAAAGGAAATAATAAACAGCAGAGCAGAAATAAATGAAATAGAGAATAGGAAAACAATAGAAAGAATCAACAAAACCAAAAGTTGGTTCTCTGAAAGGATCAACAAAATCGACAAACCACTAGCCAAATTGACAAAAAAAAAAAAAAACAGGAGAGGATGTAAATAACCCAAATAAGATATGAAATGGGGGACATTATAACATACACAACTGAAATAAAAAAGATCATAACAGAGTATTATGAAAAACTATACT